TTACGACAAGCAGAGTCGCTTTTTACAGCAAGCGTGGGTTGCTGAAGACCTATTCTACCCCGGATCTTCACGGGTCTAATATATAAGTAAACGCGTTAATCGGGATATCATTTGAAACTAGATTGGTAAAGTTACAATATACGGAAAACAGATTCGTGAGCTACATTGTCAAGTTATCAACATGCATGCCATCAAATAAAATCCAAAACAGCTCCACATTGTCGTACACATCAAATCGCTCTGGTAAAACAGCTCAGAGAAGAATGAGTATAATTAATCTACATACTTTCGCTTATACATGATGCAATTAATCACTGACATGATGACAGAGTGGTTGTTAATTGTGGAACACATGTGTCTATCCCAGTAGGATCCCTGTATTGAACATAATCAGCAAATACCAGGGTTCAGGGTCGTACACACTGAGACACACCAGCAGCCTGCAGGAGGTATGATGACGACTCGCTGCACTTGATGGGCCCCTGACTGCAACTGACTACAAGCCGGCCGGGACTTTCTGGGCCTTGTAACGTGTACTGCGTTTGCCTACTAAATGAAAGTGTCTGCTAATTGCGGACCAGGGGGAAGTTGAAGTCACTGAAGACTTTCAAAAGGCTTTTTTGTGGAGATGTGTTTTTTCAGGTGAACAAGTTGCTTGTCTTTGCATATGTTTGTGACGGGTGCCTCCGGTGGCGCGTGATAGTGATTCATAAATACATGTTTATGATGTAGTCGGAATCGTACAATGCTCTCGGTGGAGATTTCTTCTGATAATGGAAATGATTTAGTCGCTTTATTTTAGATGAAACAAATACAATCTATTTAATGGACTCTGGATGAAGATTTTTTGCTTATGGTTAATAAATATTTATCATTCAAAATGAACAATGGGGTGGTAATGGATCGGTAAACAATCCCTGTCGGCTTTTGTGACTCTGCATGGTTAATTCAGTCTGCACATTCGCTATTGTAGAAACCACTGCACTGATTCATATAGTTTCGTATTATTTTCATAAAACTATGTATCTTTTATGGACTTTTATGATTTTCGGGAATTACCAGTGCCATTAATCATGCATGAAATTGTTATTGAATCATACAATCACGTTAACGTATTATAGGATACACAAAGCCACAACAGTAACATATAACCTGAGCCAGCGGCATATTATACTTGCCATGGTTCTCTGCAGGATGATTTATTGATTTCCTATGTCCTCGGTGTGATTCCCAAAAGATGTTCTGTGTCATGGTGAGAGAGAGAGAGAGAGAGAGAGAGAGAGAGAGAGAGAGAGAGAGAGAGAGAGAGAGAGAGAGAGAGAGAGTTGGTTTTAACGCCGCTTTTAACAGTATTCCAGTTATATCACGGCGTGTCAGCTTAATGTGGGAGGACAGCCCGAAGTGGTGCAGGTCTCAGACGTTTACCACTTTAGTGAAACCCACGAGCACGGGTATGGTGCTGACAAACCTAGAAACATAATAGGGGCGAACCGAGATTCGAACCCACAATCATAGCTTTCTTGCATTCCCAAGGGACGCAACTCTGCACAGCGAATCGCGGCACCTTAGCCGACTGGGCCATCCGTGGCCCCGAGAGAGAGAGAGAGAGAGAGAGAGAGAGAGAGAGAGAGAGAGAGAGAGAGGGGGGGCGGGAGGGCGGGAGAGAGAGAGAGAGAGAGAGAGAGAGAGAGAGAGAGAGAGAGAGAGAGAGAGAGAGAGAGACTTGTACGAGGAGCGCGGCAAGATACTCGCCAAATACTAATGATCCATTCACCCCTCCTCAGGTTTCTATTTAATCGGGCCTATTTCTCATGGCAGTGTTACAGGTGCACAATTTGACTAACCGATTAATCCCTTCAGAGGGCGGAACAGTGAGGCAATGCCATTCTGGAGCCATGATGACTGAGGGAGCGTTGCTTATGTCATCCGTACCATTCATCATGCGCCCTGAACAGTACAGACTTTCTGACCCGTATCATAACGACTGATCGTTACGTCATGCGGACGCACAAAGAGGAAGTTTCCCACAAAGACGATACTTGCACATTGGCGTGAACAGGGAACCGCCCTAGCCCTAGTCATGATCAAACTGCATGAACCATTTCACAATTTGAGCTGATTTGTGTTTGTTTACCTTAAGGACCAAATGCCGTATCGTGTATTTGAATAGCTTGTTTCACTGAATGGCATGAAACAACAGCAAACCAAAGACACCGTCACGACGTAGAGCCACTGACTATGCTTGTGATACAAGATCGCGTAATCTTATCCCTAAACCAGGGAGAGTTCACGCGATCACTCACCCAACGATAACATACCTGCTACCTGAATCATAGCATTATCGTTGTGATTGGTTCTCTGACTGGCGTAATTGTCTGGAGCTCCATATTGATGTCGTTATTGGGATGGTCTCTCAGTCGTAAAGGTGTCGGTGACCTTGGTCTCGCAAAACACAAGGATTTTCATTATCTTTGTAGGATAACTTTTTCCCGTCGTCACATGATTGGTCACGTTCTTTTAACACACTTTTTGTTCTACCATAAAGAACAATATTTGTCCACAGCGTACATTGTTCTTTAATACTGACAACCATTTATTTGTCAAATTACGGAGTACTTCCTGGTCAGATTTACAATGTGAACTGTAGATACACAGGGTCAGGTAGACTGACATTAAGTCCCAGAAGTAAAGGCATCTTATTTAAAGATACATATATACAAATAAAAATATAATCCAAACGGAGCCCAGAAAGTGCTTGACTTAATATCCTCGAGCTGAGGAAATCTAGACTATCAAAGTATTCTCGTCTTGAGTTAAGAATATTTTTAATTTTTTAAAATTCATTCTCAATTGTCTTGGAGACAGACTAAGATCCTTGTTGTACGTGTACATGCATTCTGTGTTGATGTGAGAATGTGTGTGGATGTATTTTCTTATGAGCGTCTGAATTCTACACATATTTATACATTGGACCGGTTTGCGCAGAGGGATAACACCATAACCCAGACAAGAATGTGAACGTTACACATATGGGATATATTTACCACCGAGTTTCCACCGGAGATGAACTTCTATACCTGTGGTTAAAGGTTGGTCGAAATCAGTATTTTAACGGAATCCCAGTTCCGTTACACCATGTGTTATCTTCGTGTGGGTCAGGGTTCTAAAAAACATATTAACTGATAACGTTGCTCCGGATCATTGTATTGCCAGTGGATATTTGCCCTTTACATGTTTATGGGTAGTGTGTAACACTATGCGAACGCGTTTGAAGTGAAGAGGTGAGGTGAAATGGGGTTTAACGTCGCGTCGAGGATTATTGCACTTATATAGCGACGTGCATGTACGTGTGTGTGTTTGTGTGGCTGCTTGTACTAGTCCGGACTGATGCCGATTTATAGTGCTAGCTCACTGAGATACCATGTCGCAGTTTAACATGAATACCCCACACAGTATACTGACTCCGAGCCGACCAGTCCCCTATCCCCTTAATGCCGAGCGCCAGACAGGGTAACAACAAGTACCATCTTTTAACGTCTTTTGGTATGACGCGGCCGGGGATCGAACCCCGTACCTTCCGCTATCCGGGCGGATGCTCTGCCACTAGACCACGGAAGCAGTCGAATAGTGAAGACTTCCATGATCCGTTGCAAACTGAACGTTTCAAAATTGAATTTGTATTCGTTGGAAATGAATTGTCGCCTTGTATCAAGTCTATGTTTACGCTGTGGGATCAGGCTATAAAAGTCCCCTTTACTTAGTTTAGTGTTCTTTGTTTAGATCACACAGGCAGACATAAATGTTAGTTTCGTACACACGCATGGTATTCTTGACGAACCCATGTTTGAGCGCTGACAGCAATCTAATCAAATATAGTTTGTCGCGGCTGTGCCTCGAATAGGTGACCTACATCACGAGTCAGAATATAGTTTGGAATAAATGGTCCGCTGGGGCCACAGCATCCTGAATGATGACCATTTATCCGTAGATAGTGCCATCAGCCTCCGTATGGAATGACCATAGCTTTACCAATGTGACCCTTTTAAACGCACTCAAGTGATCTCTAGCATTCTTGCTCCCTGAATCGCGTCCTTTTTGCTGGGATTGATTTTTACACTGGGTAATTGTTCTGTGTACTCCCCATCGCTGTTTGTTGTTGTCCTAGTAAACAAAGCGTTGTGTCTGACCTACAACCCCTGACCCCAAGTTCAGGGCCACGCCCACTCCAGCGCGCCAGGAGAAATGTCAAGTACAGGATTTGCGTAAGCCTGAGTTTAAGTAAATGCATAACACACCTGTATGATATAAAGCAAGAAAAACACCATGGCGCTTCCACGACATGTATCTCACTGTTAAATGATATAATGCAGGATCAACACAAAGGATATTATCACAAGGTGATAAAACACCTGAAGCAATAAATCCACGCCAGTGCTGCGAACAGTTGTTTCAATGCAATTACCTCAATTAGTACATCAATAATGCATAGATCACACATTACACATACACTGAATAGGCCTTACTCTCTTAGGCTAAGGCACCTATTCATTAACGTCATAGTCAATCGATTAACTTGTAATTACAATTGCTATTTGGCTTATTGCCATACATTGAAATGGGTATCGGTTTTACAAGCTATATTTCGTCGTGACAGCTGTGTGTACCGATAGCTTAGAACTTGCTTGTTTTATTTGTGACTTATGTCACCTTGACACTGGCGTTAATAATTCATAATTTTGTTTTCATCACCAACAATGCTACTGATCCAGTTAACCAACAGAACAACCGATCGATTCGGATAACACATACAGATTAATGCAAACAGAACATGCATGATATAAATTCATATAGATATCTTTAGACTTTTGTTTTGAGAATCATGGCATCAATTCATATACAAGTCTGTACTCTAATGTTATGAGAATGCATGGACACTATAAGCAGCATGCACAGTGATGCCCTTAGCCTCAGGATACAGTCTGCAAAGCTCGCTCACATACCTGATAAGTTAAAATATCCTCAGCATCCACGCGAAGTGTTTAACTCACAACCGTCTTCATGGATGTCCCAGGAGCTGACTCGCAGTAACCACGCCAGAACACACACAGTGTAATTCTAGAGGAAGCGACTCCCTTTCCGCATTACGATCCGTCTAAGCACTGATGCATAGCACAGGGCTGTTGTATTCAACCTAGTGACGAACACTAATGGCACGACTAGTTCCAGGCCGGTGACGCCGTACAACCGTTCTCCAACAGCTATGTGACTATACCAAGAGGTTGTTGCAGGCCGGGAGAGTGGGGCTAACTCCAGCTACGCTTAGAGGTGGTGTGAGATTGTCGACTCAGCCGTGCGTATTGACTATCTGCTACAGTTGGCGGTTGACTCATCAACACGTGTAGCTTGTCGAAACAGCTGAGTGTGTCTGGATACTTGCAACTGTCATACACTGACATGCTATACAATTAATATTATTTGAATTTATGATTGTTTCGAAAGAATTGTTTTGTACCAACCGTGAGGTAGAGTTATCCCCCTTTACATTGTGTCTCCATTGCACATTTAGAGATGAGTAATCGTTAAAATCTTAAAGTGAATTAGTATCCTCTTTAACGGGCTATTTTCCTTAATGTTTCATCTGTTTCACATTTTATGACAGGAACCTTTAAATTGTTGGTTTTCCCTATTGCTATTCATATGTGAACAATCTTGGTATCATTCATCAGTTGTTATTAAATATATTTGAAAGTCGTAAATTCTCTTCGAATTTCTAGATTTATGATTATTAAAGTTTATCATTAATTTTCTAGTTCATTAGTTTCCTTTTCAACATTTAACGTGCTGGTATGATGAGATTTCCGCAAGTTAAATTTAATTAAACCATAAACATGACCAGTGGATAATGATACGGTTGGTATTTTTGGCATTATATATTATATCGACTTAATTGACATTGGTAGTCACTTTTAACAATAAGTGGTGTTGTCTATCTGCCGCCATGCCTGTGTTTCATATCAATCCTAGAATGGTACAGTACAGAGATATGGACCAAGGTCCCATTGGATGCAAATAATATTGACACTCGACTCGCGCTGGACCTGAATGCTAGTTTCAGGAAAGCACGAGGAAACAGAAACCCCAGCATCTGGCAATTGTCATCTATTTAGTATGATACGACCACAGGGCCACGGATAGCCATACTATACTGACTGTACTGATTACATTAAAAAAATGTTTTTAATGTAATCAGTACAGTCAGTATAGTATGGCTATCCGTGGCCCTGTGGGTACGACACAGAGCAAGGTATCCAGTGTTGGGAGTCATGGATAGCAGTGAGTGTTAAAGTATAGGAAATAAAAAAATGATGGCACGAGTAAGCAGATTATCCGTAGCAGCAACGCTCGGAATAAGATGATAGGGGTTGCCAGGTTACCTTGATTTTGATATTTAAAGCAAATTCTCGGAGGCTACAGGAATGTTGGTGTGTTCTTCAAAGGGACGTAACTCGACTCATTGTATCTACATGCGTAACTCTTTCTTGTATATGGGCCGGTGGCCTTTTGTACAATAAACTTCTTTGACTTTGAATAAGATGATAGGGATGGAAGGAGGATAGGGAATGAGTAAGGAGCGTACACATGGGTGGGAGCAAAGGGTGTGGACAACGCCAGAATAACGGTAAAAGGTGATGGGTGAGGACCGGTGTATGGATGGAAGAGGGATGTTTGTTCATTGCTATGGTTTGAAAGGAGGAGTCAAACATTTGTTTCATTTTCACAACGGGGCAACAGCAATTTCAATTTTCTAAAATATTCGTTTCCAGTATTTTCTGAACAGTTTTGTTGGGTAAAACTGTTCCATGACACAGTGTGGTTGTGTAGGGTTTGACGGCGCTGTTAGCAATAAGTCAGCAATATCATGGCGGCAACCACAAGACCAGGCTCCACACATTGCACACATCTCGTCGACGCAGGTCGTCGGCGTGACGAGCCAACGATGTAACTACTTTTCAGCCCCACTGCCTACGATGGTGGGATTAGGACATGCTAAGATTTGTTAAGGTAAAGTTAAGGACACAGGAATGGGAATAAGAACGTCGGATGATAGTAGACATATACACATAGTCCATTACATCTTTTATTACACAATACAATACTCTTCCGATTTGTATCTTGTGCTGATTTCATGTGGAATACAGAAACTGAGCTTGCCTATTTCTATTATCTAGATATTCCACGGTTACTGTGCTGGAATAAGACTAGCGGTTAAAGGCATTTCATTTATAGGGGAAGGAAAAATGGAAAGGACACGTTGCTCTGTGAAATGACCTGGCAACACTGGATTATCACCTTACTGAATAGCTTGTTGGTTGTGTGAGTCGTCCTGTCGCAGATAACATATTTCACTGTGCGACAAAACGTATGCGTTCTACAGAGACGTTTAGCAGTTGGTGATGCTGATCGATCTGTTACATAGTGCCGTCGACAGAAGAAAGGCTTTGGGAATATTTCAAAGTCATCAAAGGCTTCGGGGTTGAGAGAGACGCGGGATGAGAAGCATTAGAAACATCAAACACCTATGCTGATGGTATGAAGAAACAGATGATCCTCCGGTAAAATCATACTGTGTTAAACGTTTATACACCAACAGGAGCAGCAATTCCCTTGTCATAAAACGACTTATCACGTCGGGAAAGAAGGATGCATTCAATCATATGTAGATCCTGCAAGTATTAATTTTTCACAATCCTGCAAGTATTAATTTTGCACAATGCTGCAATGGTTGTATTGAATATCAATATAAGGGGAAGGTCGAGTAAGGCTCCGTGACTTGTGCCCAATCTACACACTCTTTTGAAGAAAATATATGTACCGTATGTAAGTTACATGTATTACCATAGATGCTATTATATATTCCCCAGGGGGAAATCAGATTTGACTGATCCAAAGACAAGGGTAATAATAACGCAGCGCCATGAACCTTCCACTTGGTCATGATCATCATCATGATCATCATCATCATCATCATCATGATGATGATCATGATCAACATGATCATCATCATCATGGTAATCATCATCATCATGATCATCATCATCATCATCCTCGCCGTCATCATCATCATGACCATCATCATGACATCATCATGATCATCATCGCCGTCATCATCATCATCGCCGTCATCATCATCATGACCATCATCATCATAATTCATCTGCTTCCACGGTATATGAGACGAGACAGGACGTTGCCGTCATTCGCTCAGTTCGTCCAGATGGATTTCACAACTTTCGCAGCCAAACGGAAAACTTTAAAGAATCAACCCTGACTTAGTGAAACTAACCAAATTCAAAAGCCTTTATAACTAGATGTCTTGATGTTGAATAAATTGCCAATGTAAGGCAGAACCGTAAAACCCCAATGTCCCGGAAACCCAGCCATCTAGCAATTCACCTAACTGCTTTTAGTCACTGACACAATATATGTTACCCACTGACACAATATATGTTACCCACTGACACAATATTTGTTAGTCACTGACACAATAGCTGTTCGCCAACACCACAATAAAGGTTATGCTGTGTGAGCCTCGACACACAAGCTGGACATAGCTCTTACAGAATGTATGTTAATCATTGGTATAATGGTTGTCACAGCAACAACGGCGGCACCCACTTTAACAATGACTAGTAGCCACTAACATAGTCGCCGGTCAGCGGCTCGCATAATAGCTGCTGGTCAAAAACAATTTGTCTGGACACTAGACACACTGGGTGTGAGTCATTGACAACGGTTGCATACTTAGATAATAATCGGTGCTACTGACATCATTGACGTAAGTTTCTCACAGAACTATGAAAGCCATACGTGCACAATGGCTGTAGCCACTGACATAATTATGACAGCCATACTGGTACAGTGGCTGGTATTTACTGACAGAATATCTAGGAGTCACTGACATAGCTATGGCAGCCACACTTGTACGGTGGCTGGTATTTATTGACACACTAGCTGGTAGCCACTGACATACGAGTCGTATGACAGCCATTCATCTACAGTTTGCTGGTATCTACTGACGGAATATCTAGGAGTCACTGACATAGTCATGGCAGCCACACGTGTACACTGGCTGGTATTTACTGTCACCCTAAGGAGTAGCCACTGACATATCTATTTCAGCCACACTGGCTTGTATTTACTGTCACCCTAAGGAGTAGCCACTGACATATCTATGTCAGCCACACTGGCTGGTATTTACTGACACCCTAAGGAGTAGCCACTGACATATCTTGTCAGCCACACTGGCTGGTATTTACTGACGATCTAAGGAGTAGCCACTGTCATATCTATGTCAGCCACACTGGCTAGTATTTTCTGACACCCTAAGGAGTAGCCACTGACATATCTATGTTAGCCACACTGGCTGGTATTTACTGACACCCTAAGGAATAGCCACTGACATATCTATGTCAGCCACACTGGCTTGTATTTACTGACACTCTAAGGAGTAGCCACTGACATATCTATGTCAGCCTCACTGGCTTGTATTTACTGACACCCTAAGGAGTAGCCACTGACATATCTATATCAGCCACACTGGCTTGTATTTACTGACACCCTAAGGAGTAGCCACTGACATATCTATGTCAGCCACACTGGCTGGTATTTATTGACACCCCAAGGAGTAGCCACTGACATATCTATATCAGCCACACTGGCTAGTATTTTCTGACACCCCAAGGAGTAGCCACTAACATATCTATGTCAGCCACACTGGCTTGTATTTTCTGACACCCCAAGGAGTAGCCACTGACATATCTATGTCAGCCACACTGGCTTGTATTTTCTGACACCCTAAGGAGTAGCCACTGACATATCTATGTCAGCCTCACTGGCTTGTATTTTCTCACACCCCAAGGAGTAGCCACTGACATATCTATGTCAGCCACACTGGCTTGTATTTTCTGACACCCTAAGGAGTAGCCACTGACATATCTATGTCAGCCACACTGGCTTGTATTTACTGACACCCTAAGGAGTAGCCACTGACATATCTATGTCAGCCACACTGGCTTGTATTTTCTGACACCCTAAGGAGTAGCCACTGACATATGTATGTCAGCCACACTGGCTTGTATTTTCTGACACCCTAAGGAGTAGCCACTGACATATCTATGTTAGCCACACTGGCTGGTATTTACTGACACCCTAAGGAATAGCCACTGACATATCTATGTCAGCCACACTGGCTTGTATTTACTGACACTCTAAGGAGTAGCCACTGACATATCTATGTCAGCCACACTGGCTTGTATTTACTGACACCCTAAGGAGTAGCCACTGACATATCTATATCAGCCACACTGGCTTG